TTAGAATCTGATCTCAACAGAGATAACTAAGATTCTCAGGTGTTTGCTAGGCTCAGGTGCTAACCAAACTGGATCAGCACTGCGGCGTTGAGGCAAGGTCTGAAGGCAGGTTATATACAGGGGGATCCTCTGATGACGAGATGCGCCACAGGTGTGTTGGAGGCACAGCTCAGGAGGATCCACGGCGCACTCTGCTGGAGAAAGGTGGTACAGCTCCAGATCCCAACATAGACAAAGATTTCTCTAAAATAGCTTAGGCCCACGCCTGATTTAATTTGTATTGCTTTTTGTTGCAGATTCCACTTGATTTAGCTCTTGGTCTAAATTAAAAGATGTGAAGTTGGATTCAGGGAAAACAAGTTGATCAACCCAGCATACTGCGATTCAGTTCGTTCTCACAGTGCTTTTACTGGTGGATGTTCTGGGTTGCACACATGTTTTTCATGCAGCATAAAGAGGTGCCCAAGAATTGCACAAATTATTTGCCAGATCTTGAAAATTGAATTTCATATTGACATTAAAGTGTTGCTTCTTTCAAAGTAATTTGATTTGTACTCACTATGCATAATTGACTATCCTCTACTATATAATTCTCATCAGAATTATAGAGTAAAAAAAATGTCCATATACTGTTCTTTGCACCTATCTCTATTTTTGCCATAGTATATCGTACTGTATATGCATGTCTAGATCTACTTACCTTGAAAGCATCTTTACAAAAGTGATGTTTAAAAAGAAATGGGCCCATGTCTGTGTTCCATTTCTTTAAAACAGTTGTGTTTCATGTCACTCATGTTTCAATGGTTTCTTTGTCCCTGTATTGCTTCTTTTTTTTGTGTCGACTCACCCGCATTTACCTTGCAGGAAACCACCCAAAGCTAAAGCTAACTCTAAGTCTAAACAGAGCAACCCTGACAAAAGGTAATCAAGGATAGATAATTCAGTTTAAATATAGCTGGTGTCTGAAAAATTATTTTTCTTCCTTCACAAGTAATTCTGCCAATTAAATATATAAATATCTAATTTTGCCAAAGACAAATATGACATATTGACATATGACATATTGTGACTTGATGTAATAGAGCAGTTGTGATAGACTTACAGTGTTTACCAATGTAATCTAATAGTTATTTCAAAATAAAACCTTTAGCCTGCAAATGTGATTAAGCACATAGTAATACCCTGCAAGTATAATCAGTAGGATAAATCTACTTAAACAAAAAAACATCCCGTATGCCCATAAAACACAGGTAGCAATCCTCATCCAGTCTGACTGAACTTAAGCTTTTTGGAAAGAAAAAAAGGCAAAAAGGTTAAATCAGTAAATCTACCTTAAAAAGCTTCACACCTTTAATTGCTGCAAAAAGTTGTTTTTATAAACTGATTGATAGAAATGGTAATCCCGGTTCAGGTTTATACTGATAGAAGGTTTTGAAAAGCTTTTCCCACTAGATCAGGGCTACAGTATGTCCTGCTTTGCACTGATCTGTCATTTAAATTTCCCCTAAAATGCAATGAATCTCATGGGTGTAAAGTAACAGAATGAGTCTAAAGGCTCAAAACTTGAGATCTTCTGTGAGGGATTGCACAAAAATACCTTTTCACCAAACTTCAAAAATATAAACAATCATAAAAGATAAACATTTAAACAAAACAAGTCAAGAAGCATATCTGAAATTATGGTCAAGATATAAGGATAGATACCTACTTCACATCCAAATAAAAACTAGAATATGTTCATAAACATATGTATGTAACAAGTGTAAGAGAAAGCTTGTTTCATACTTGGTGAAAAGGGAGATGATTTTCCGCCTTAGGTTTTTGGGTTGGAAATCTGTGTGTTGATCTGTTATATAGAGAAAGCAGTGAGGAAATAAGAAGATTTGTATGCTACATCTTTTAAGGTGTCTTTCACACTTTTTAACATTTTACACCCTGTCACCACCTTCCCAAAGTCAAACAATATTGTATGTTCCAACTTCTATTGTAGCAGGGACTAAGATCCTGTAAAGTCATTAAATTTGGGGCCCAAGGCGAAGGCAGGCGTGGGGCCCTCTGAAATAACAAGACAACACACAAAACAATAGTTCAGTTACATGGATAGAAACATTTAGCAGACTACAAATGCATTTTACCTTTTTCCTTCTCTCCCTGTTTCCCATTCTCACATTGTCTTTCTCACTTTTTACTTCGGACTCTTTCATTTGTTGCGTTCCTCTCCTTGTTTACTTTCATCTTTTTGTCTTCCTGTCTTTTTCTCAGTGCTTATATTTTTCTCTGTTTGATCCTTGTTTATTTCAAGTGGTGGACAGTAACCGTGTACATTAACTTGATAACTGTACTTCAGTACTTTATTTTTGTGTATCTTTACATTACTTAAGTAATTTTTGGAGAGGGAACTTATAACTTTTACATTTCTACACTACACTTCATTTCAAATTCAAATATTGTACTTTCTACTCCACTATATTTCTAGTAAGCTGGTTGTTGTTCCTTTTGGCTTAGCTTATCTTTGTAATCCTCTGTTGCTGTTTTTCTTTCTTGGAATATGATTGGTCACATTATGTTTCTGACAAAGTTCAGAGTTCATCCTTAAGAACAGGTATCCTGGATGTTTTAATTATCTATCTTTGTTCAAAAAACCTGGCTCCAATGGTAGCTTTTTAATAGTCATATGCAGAACTTTGACATGCTGAGGAGGAAATAGCTACCTCCAGGGAGAAGAACTAAAACGTGTAAGATACCAGAACTGGAGGACTGAATTTGAGGACCATCCTTTTAGAAATTTCAATGGCATTTCTCAAAAGTGAGAAACTCATGGCAGATATCATTAGTAAGGCTTTAGTTTTTTCCATGTGACCAAGTTGTTCAGTAGGATGAGTTCTATTTCATCCCTACTGACCGCCAGAGGCGGTGCTTCAAGCACTGAATGATCATTC